TCAACATAAAATATATGTAGAAATTAAAGATATGCAGTATCTTATCTTTATTCATGGAATATATCATCTCGTGCCATTAGCAGTAAAAGAAAAGAAGAAAGAGTTTGCTTTCGGCAACTCTAACTTTGTTCCTCCGACATAATATTAAGTTCTATTGAGATTCTTAAAACATTGAATCAATCACTCACGCACAACAGACATATATCTGCTCTAATTAATTAATTTACTTTTGGACTTTCATCTTCTGAAAAAGTTTTATTTTATCTTATTTCCTCATGTATTTGACAATAAAAGAATACACGCACACACATTAATTGAATGAGGATGGAATCGTTTGGGATGATAATATATATAAACATATATTTATATCACATACCATTGGAAAAGCTTTCTGTCACAATAATTTGAAATTGTACTAAAAAAGTCAAAAAAATCACTAGTTAATGATTTTTTACCCCGATTAATTAATGTTCTAATATTGTGCATTCCAGTAGTAGAGACTTTAAAATAAGGGGCATACTTACGTTAGATATTTAGTCCTCCTTTTATATTTATATTTCCAAAAAAAAAGGTACAGTACAAAACCGAAGATTCATATAATGATGAAATCGGAATGAGATGCTGGAAATATTAATAAAATTTTAGACGGTTAAATTCTGATACTTTTCAGTAAATATATACATACATTTCCAGTTAGACCCTTCAAGTTCGTTCCAAGTTTATGTGAGCATATATTTTTCAGCCTCACACACATGTGGAACCAAAATATGAAATTAATGAATGAATGCATTTATAAGGAGTAAGTATGGCCACCACTTTTTTCTGATGCATCATCATTAGAACACATGTGGGTACATTTAATTAGAAACAAAGATTGTCGCTTTGATGATATGTACCCCTCCAACAATACATGATATTTTAATTCTTCAAAGGTTCCCATTTGCTGCATATTATATCATATAAAAACACGTTATTTGAATAAGATCAGGTTATAAATCTAGCTAGTGGGAGAGTTTAAGCTAAAAGCTAACTTATTTAGGAGAGCTGTTTAAACGTATAGAGTCTATTTGGAACAATTTATAAATAGTTTTTCAATAGTAATTTACGAAATACGAGACAAATATGTGAGAAGAGTTTTATCTCAGTTTACGTGAAACGTGCTTATAGGGAATTTTTTAAACCCCTCCCAAATAGCCTCATAATCTATTAGAAAGAAGAGCTTTTCTTTAATATGATATGAGACTCATAACAAGCTACAACAATCTTGTAAATACCAATTTAATTAGAGAGAAGGATCCATGAAAACACGCCCAATGTGATCAATTTAATACGGAACCAAATGATGAAAACGAATAATGTCAAAGGATTGTTGTTGTTGATATGATTGCCTTAATTAATGAGCTAGCTAGCAATATACTATTCAGTAAGAACCCCGATGATTAATTACAATATCTGACACAACAAATGTCAAATATTCTGCGTTTACTTTTAGAGATTTATCAGAAAATTGTCGACATACCCACACAGGGAAGATAAACATGAAGCTATGTTTGACTTTTCCATCTGTGGCTGAAGAAAGTAGAGGCAGGCAACCAGAGAGCTGGAATCGTTTTGGAACTTGGACCCACTGATTATATATATACTCATTATAATGTGCGGTTAATTCAAATAAATATAAAAACTTCACCGAATTTACAGCCAAGAACAAGGTGTGGATGGGCTGTAAAGTAGCGTTCTAGATCTGAACGTGGTTGACTATTTGGAAATTGCAGAAGAAGGATGGTTCGAATCTTAAAGGTTAAGAATGTTTTATGTAGACGACAGGGACAGAGTCGGTGATATATAAATTTATATAAATATATTGCTAAAAACTTGGCCGTCAGAGAAACGCGTTTGTGTTTAATGTTAATTAATCGTCTTATGGCTCTGACCTTTTAATTTTGATTTCACTTAGAAACACCACATCAAGGACCCAGTTTTCCATTACATAAATAAACATATAACTATCCGATCGATTAAAAAAGAAAAAAGAGGACTTATATATATATATATATATATGCGTGTATACATTTTGGTCAACGGAGACGAAGATATATTAGAACCTCGTCAATTGTTCTCACCTATGAATAGAAAACGACTTGAAAAAACAAAAGGAAACTTTGGCTAACACATATGTAATTATATATATAATTAAAGTAACTATGATTTTCTCTTCGAAAGGATATAGAACTTCATGTGAAGGTGCAGTCGTAGGTGGGTAGATTATTGTTGGATGTTAGCTATGTGTTTTATATATGTGTCGGTCAATGCGCGCCGCGAGAGGGGGGTTGGCCAAAAAAAAAAAAAACACAGATATATAAATATATATATATATATAGAGAGAGAGAGAGAGAGAGCATCATATATCATAAACAAAGCAAAACGGGTCGTCGTTTACGGATTGTCACCACATTACTGTTTTAGGCAATATCATAACGCAAATGCAATGACTAGAAAAAACAAAAAAGATATTATTTCTTATAATTATCAATGAATAGACAGTTTTGATATGAAATTATCAATTATTTGGTTCACTGGACAGCACATTGTTTTCTGGGAAATCCGTGTTCTTCCTTCCACAACCATCCAACTTGGTTTGGGACCATTTTTACTGTTACATCGGCAAAAAATTAGATTAACACCTAATAATTAATTAATTATAATTAGTAGGATTTGTTTTTGTATTACTTTTGGTTTCATAGGACCCATTAGTACAATTCTAAACAAATTAATCAGAATTGTATTCTTCTAAAAGTCTAAAATTCTAGGAGATCTCATTATGTGCGTTTTGACACAAGAATCTAATCCTTTTTGTCCATTCCTTTTGATATCTTTTTGAACCACCAAAAGATTGAGATATATATTTATATATATATATATATATTGAGTGTGGAACCTACATGCATAGGGGAAATTGCATTCAAAATTTGGGAAATCTTCTATAGTAACTAATTATCACTCTCTTAAAACATATAATTACATATCTGAACTTTGGTCTAGAATGATCAAACAGGATAGTCATTATTTTGCCTAATCTTAATTACTTTAATTAATTAATTATATAGTTCATCCAATTCGTCGTAAAATTGATATTTTAACATGTATATTACTACTATTATACTACCATGCATTATAAATTCTCTTTTACAAACATGCAGTATTGTGTGTTTGTACTGAAAAATTCATTGATAAAGTAACACACACACACACACAAGCCTTCTGGTCAATCGTTCAAACCAAAACTCCAAGGTATATATTATCGAATGTAGTTTGAATGCAACAAAATGTGTGAATGGAGAGAAATTTAACCATTACGTAACAATCAAATTGTGGTACTATATATTCTATAAAACAAAGCATATTTATATATATGCACGTGTGTGTGTGTGTTTATTGCAGATATATACTAGGTCTTAACATTTATCAAAATAGACAGGTAACATAAAGAAACAATTTGAGTCAAAATTGAGGGCATTCTTTTATACTTGGCGCATATGTAAAGTCCAAGTTATTTCAGGCAAAAATGAACTATTATTTTAAATGTTACAATGTGAACACTTTATAGTTTATAGAACAAATTAAACTTACAGAACACACGACCACATATTAAACTCACGAAATTTCATACATGAATCCTTACCAAAGAAGCATGAAAAATCAATTTAGGAATTATGGGATAAAAGACAAATCCGTTCAGTTTCAAACTTAGTATAACCCAAAGTCATCATTCTCTTAGGTTTGCACCCACGCCGCAATCACACCATGCATATATAAGTTACAAATTTGATATGTGTGTGTATTAATTGAAGAATCGAAGATGATATAAATAATGCAACTTATATTTATCGAAACTCCATATATACGCAATGCACCGTACGATCTAATTTATAGTTACAAGCCATAAATAAAAGATGTAATTCTTTTTTATAAATGTTGTGTCAAAAACACAAGAGAAATCAAAACTTAACACTAATATATAGTATTATTTAGACATAGTTTACTATAATATCTTGCATTTAATTTCTCCCTCTCCTCTTAATAATAGTACTTACATCTGAAAAGCTTAGAGAGAGAGAAAGTGCAAGTTTAATTTCAATGAAAAGAATAAATTGATGGTCCATATGAATCATGATGAGAAGCCTCCATAGCCCAAATAACATCGATTAAAAGTCACAAGTTCATACTATGACCAGCTGAGACAAGTCAATTTCAATACACACACACAGACATCTCGTTTCATGCAAACACGCCACACACACACACAGAATCATCTAGCTGTCAAAATATATACCTCTCATGCATCCTCCTCTTGAAAATTCCAAAAGCTTTGACATCCCATCAATTGCTGCTAAAAGCTGTTTTTCATTCCAAACTATTAATTATATAAAATCAAGCGACCTTTTCAATACTTGCAACTTTTCTCCTTTGATTCACATTATTAAACAAGTAGGAAACTGAATCTGTAAGATAAGATTATATGTATAAAGATTATTATCTGGAGAGGGATGATCAAGATCAGTTTCAGATGGGAATTATTAAAAAAAATGAAATTGAGAGTACTTTTTAATTTGTTTGTGAAGTGAGGGATTGCAATTTGCAAATGCCCCATTATATAACCGTACAAGAGTGTGCCTTCCGAATGGAATAGACATTATGATGATTTCAACCATTATCTCTTTATATATGGACGGACACTATGTTTTGCTGTTCTTCTCCACATCTCGTTAGGTAATGTCAATTTTCCTGTTTTATATGCTTACACCTACTACCAACACCCAAGACTGAATCAGTCTCTTTGAACTTTGAAGCATTCTCTCTTCACTACATCAATATTTCTCAATCAATTCCAAAGACGAATAAGAAATCATATTATAATGAGTACACATGAATTAATCATTCTTTTCACTGCTTGCTTGGCTATGCAAAGAAATCTGAAAGAGCAGCGAGTGAACTGGGAAAAATAACAGCGCAATTAAACCTCATCGTTTTCTTCCATTGCTTTCGTCAAACAAAGAGTCAGCCAGCAACACAAAAACAATAAATGATGACGGAAACCGGGAAATCTTCGAGGAAGTTGAGAAAGAGTTTCTTGGAACGAACCTAGTTCTCATCACATTTAAGGTTTCAGCTTTGGTTTTGATTTTGTGCTTGACATTAATTAAACAACTACATCTACATGTCATCTCTTGAGAGCTTGTTTAGAAGAGCAGTGATAAGAGCATCTCTTTTCTCAGCCCTAGCTTCTTCTCTAAGCCTTCGTTGTTCTTCCCTCTCTCTCCATCTCTGATCCATCATTATCTTCTCATTCTCCAATGCCTCCATTGTTTGTCTCCATTCTAGCTCCTTCATTCTTCTCTCCTTCTCTCTCGCTTCATAAGCTTCCATCCACTGTGCCTCCATTTGCATCTGTTGCCTCATAAACTCCTGCAATATCTCCTTCATATTCTTCAAGCTATCATTAATACTACTGCTGCCGCTACTGTAATTACCACTACTGCCCTTTCCCTTCTTCTTCTTCTTTCTGCTGCTACTCGGAGTACCTTTCTGATCTCCTTCACTGTCTTCTTTGTTGTTATTGTCATCTTCTTCTTCCTCTTCATCTGACGAGAGATTATGCGGCGCCTTCTTCTTCGATCCGCCACCTCCTTCGGCTTCTGCCAACATCACTCTCTGCATCCTACTTGTGAAAATCAACTGAAGCTCGTTGTAAAATGGGAAGTGCTGCCTCAGGGATTCTGGCTCCATTGTTTCACATCCCTTCATCAAATCTCACAGATGCACAGATAATTCTATGTAAGACGCGTGAACCTCGTAACCCTGAATATATACTATATATGCATACTCGTGGTCTCATGCATCATCTATACTGGACAAACACAAAGTATAGATAGACCCGACATGTTACACGATATGCAGATTGCAGAAATATGGGATACTAAATATACTTTTTGAGAGATATATGTATATAGTTTTGTTTTTTCCATGGCTATTGGATAGGTTGGAGTAGGTAGTTAGAACTTTCCTCACAGTTTCTTGACACGAAAATTCATAGATATACACGAAGATGTCAAATGGTTTACCTGGGATTATTAACAAAAGGACCACTTTTACAAGCAACTAGAGGATAAAAAAGAGATGGGTCATGAAAAATTTAGAGCATATGGGTGAAATCGTAACAGTTAAATCGAGAATGACCCTAAGTTACACTTTTGTGTAAAGTATACTTGTGATGGGAAAGAAAACGGGATTCGGTGAAGATAGAGGGTTTTGATTGAAGTTTTTAGGAGTCATCGGTAGATTCGATACCTTGTACCTGGTGGCGAGGTTTTTCCACTTGCACTTGCACTGCTCTGGGCTTCGAAAGTAACCCTTTTCCTTCATCCTATTGGAAATAACTTCCCATAATTGCTTGTTCCTCTTCGTCTCCATAAAAGCCTGATCTAGCTCTGCCCTCATCATCAAGAACTCCTTCGTTTCTTGAATACTCCATTGAGGAAACCTGTCTCCGACATCAACGTTAACCGAAACACCCCCGATACTATGTTGCTGCTGCTGCTGGTGATGATGTTGCTGTGGTTGCTGTTGTGATTGACGATGGAGATGAAGAGGATGGAGATGAGGATGATGATGGAGATGATGCCCCTCCATTAAATTAAACCATCAAATCTTGAACTCTATGATAAAAGCATAGATTTATAAAGTAGAGCTTGGAAAACAAGGAACAGAAGAAGATTGGAATTTCTGCGTTGAGGAGAGAGAAAAGACAGAGAAAGAGAAAGAAAGATTTATATATATATGGTGGCGTCAAGTGTGAACAGGTAGGTGTGAATCGTGCAAGGAGACGGGAAGAAAAAAAGGGCAGAGAACGAGATTTGATTTCCTATCCGCTTAGGTGTTTCTATTAATAATATTTATTTATTTATTATTATTCGTTCAGATTTGAGAAAACTTTTCCTTTTCCTTTCTCTTTCAGTCTGTCTCTTTATTTTCTTTATTTTGTATTTTTTCATTCCTATTTGAACCCATGAATGCTTACAGTCCCTTTGCGGTCTCATCTATCTGTCTACGCGTGAACTGTTTGGAAAAAATCACAACTAAGTACCCAGGATATGAAAACTCATATAAGAATCCCACCAATCATTTATTTTAAATAATTAAATTTTAAAGTTAATATAATCTTTAGTCCTCAAATTTATTTTTATTCCTCAAATTTAAATCATAAATTTTGATTCCTTAAAATACAAAATATTTGAATTTTTATTAAATTATTTCAAATAAAAAATCTCAGAAACCAAAACTTATTATTTAAAACTTAAGAGACCAGAATTACAATAAAGACAAACTTAATAAATTAAAATTATATTAACACTGAATTTTAATATCATGTCCACTAACCAAAAAAGTTTAATATGATGTTGTTATTTGAATCGAGTTTTGACAAATATTAATAAATATTAAATATAGTTAAATGAATTTTTTAGAACTTGGGTCCTTAATCGTGATTTTCATGACTTACGTTTCTCTCTTTCTCCCCTCTTCATCTTTTATTTTATTAGCGTTCCCACTTCCCATTGCGTCTACGTGGCGTCAGGCTGACGAGAAAGTCGCGCCTAGTGGTGGGACATTTATTCGCTACGACCATGACCACAAAACATAACTTGAACTGCAAGCTTTTCTTTCCTTTTGTATTTATAATTATATTATTTGTAGCAATACAGTAATTGTTGTTGCTATTATTATTAACAGGAAATAATTTCAACTGATAATTTTTTTTTTTTATTTTGAATTGAAAACTGATAATTTTATTTATAGTGTTAAACTTCTCCTTTATCTCTTTTGCTTTATTTTAATTCAACTTTCTCTTCGTCCCGTGCAAGGAAAAGGCTTCGAGACTGTACGAGACGCCGTAACCCCTAGATTTGTCGAACCTGGATTCCCATATCTAGAAAGTAGAGCTATAAACACAAGAAAAGTATATTTCTTTATGGTTATTTCTCTTTTTCTTAAACAAAAATACAAAGTTTGGATCATAAAAATGAGTGGGCCACTCCTTCCCTGATCACATACGCGGCTTGCTGTCATGTCCCACGTGGAGAGGCCTACCATCGGCTTCCACGTGGCATCCATGCTGGTCCACAAGAAAGAAGCGTGGGACCCACGAGTCTCAGGTCGCACCGATGACCAGATCAGGGGTCCTATTCCGTATGACGGCATGCCTTCTCCTTTGCCCAATAAAATGGGGTTCGAGACCTCGAGTCTTTTGGCGCAGAACCCAAAAAAGGGCAAAAATTTATTATCAAGAATAAAATTTTTATTATAATAAATAATAAAGATTTAATTATAAAAATACGAAAATATGCAAGCCGGATCGGGAAGATGAGGAGTTGGGTGCGTCTCAGTTTCTGCCGGGCCAATGAAAGTCCATGAGACAGGCGAGAATGTCAAAACGGGCGATGTAACTCAACGGAGTAGGTGAACAGAAGGGATCGTGGGGTGACCGGGATGCTGCCAGGTGGCTTGTTACGGTGAGGGGGGTAGCTGGGAATCGAAGCCTTAATTGACATATTAAGAGGAAATTCGAAGGGTAAAAACTTTTCAAGTCCTTGACCAGCGTCACTAAGTGGAAGGAATTATAGGAAAGGCAGTGCAGTGATGACGACGGCAACAATTAAGTGATTGATACCCACTCCAATCTTCTTATGTGCTATGCTACTTTTCCAAGAGATCCTCGAAACATTCTGAGGTCTTTCTTAAGTTTAAATGCGGATATTCTCTTATTAAAGACTATTATTTGAGTGACTCGTAAACATTAAATACGAATATCTCTCTTAACAGAAATTCGAATATTAGTTCATCGTATTGTGAAAAATTAACTTTTTATACCAGATTCAACTGCCACTTGCTCAAATCCCATTTAGATTTGGTTTTATGAAGCCATTAATTTGATGTTATAAGATGTGGGGATCTAAATAACTACCATGATAAAAATCATGGGCTAAGGTTTTTCATGTCATGCAGGATAAGACTGGGTTTAATTAGTGTCAAGGACATGTTGCCTGTGTATTATTCGATCGTATGTTTTGATATGTTATTGTCGATTTGGTACTGGACCTGGGAATCAGATGTATTTTAAATGTCTTATATTGGCGTCAATTATTTGGAATTATAATTTTTTATTTTCTAAAAAATTAATTAATCAAGCATTATTGGGCACTTGGAAATAAAATACTAATAATTAATATAGTTTGATGTTCACGTGCATTCTTTTACAGCTCCACAATTAGAGTAAATCCACGCAAATTCAGGGAGAGCAATCACTTGGTGGAAATTCTATTAATTTAATTAGAATCTGCGTTAAGGATACGGTACATAGGAGCATACAGGAGTTATTAGATTAGCCTCCACACTTTAAGGTGAATTATCATTCTCTTTTAGGACACCCGTATATATTAAAAGTGAGACTCATTTTTTGTGCATATTTTTTTTCTTATTATCCTATTTAAAGCCACTTCAAGAAATCGAATTTAAGTTTGTCATGAGATTTTTTTTTATGTATTACATATATGAATTTCAAAGTGAGACCTGTTATTCATAATTTTTGATACACGGAAGTCTAGGTGAGTTTGGTCTCAGGGACTCACCAAAGTCAGGATATACTTCCAGACTCAGAGAGCGTTTATAGAAGTATTTACAAAGTCTTCACATTGACAGTGGAATTCAAACTCATAACTTTGTAAATTGAGCCGACTTATTACCAACCCTCTTACTCATAATTTAGTTAGTATTAATAAGACTTGTTGTAGGATTTGTCTGATACGTAATACACATTGACATATCAGACATTTACATGTGTGTTAAAACCGATGCAGTTGTTAGAGGTCATTTTAAGGTGTACGGAGGGTATTTTTGACTTTTGGTAGTTTGGTTTCGAAGTTGTGGGCCTCGATTGGACCTGAGGTTGTTGTTGTTCTTTTTCATCGGCCAACGACCTGAGGGAGTTTTGATTTAATTGGCCGGAGCCTGAGGTGCTGTTCAAAGATGAATGAATTGTGAATATGTATGTGAAGTTAGTTAAGATTGAGTGGGATATCGCGATGACTAAATATATTATTTTGAGATAAGCTTCACGTCGGGTTGCTACATGTCTTGTGGAGTTACAGAAAATTTGATTAATTAAATTGCGTAAATATGTTTGAAATACTACCTCCGGTTCTTAATATAAGACCTCATTTAACTTGTACTGTGGTTCTAAATATAAGACTCTAATATATTTTGTCTATCATATTTATTCTTCTTTTTTCCCAAAATAGTCTTTTTAATTAAGAATAGTAGTTCTGACTAATAAACTTGATTAGTAAGGATATTTTAGGAAAGACAATACATATTTATTACAAATAACGTAACGTAACCACTTAATCTTTTCAAATTAGTCAACTGGCTCTTATATTTAAGATTAGAGGTAGTATTATTACAACAAGGCAAAGTTAAAATGTTACAAGAATTACACCGACTAAAGGAAAAAAAATTAATGGTATAATGTGTCAAGCCAATATAGAGAGTCATTTTGGTTAATTTCTAGATTATTTACTGTATAACCCATCAAGTTTGTATTTAGGACTACAGCAGACGTGTGTGTTTATATTTTAATTGTTGTGATGAAAAATTAAAACAAAGATGGATGGAGATAGAGTGGAAGATTTGTAGGGTTGGGATGCATGGTTGTTGGTTATAGAAATATGTTTGTTCGGTTGGTTCCAAATTATAGGTGCCTCGTCTTTGACTTCTCTGTATTATATTGCTCGTACTTCTCACATGCGTTGAAATAATTGAAGGAAATAGGTACCACTTTAATATATACTACCTCCAATTCTAATTATAAAATTTTTTTTTAAACTATAAACTATATACTCCTCCGGTCCTTAATATAAGACCCATTTAACAAATTTGATTAGATTAAGGAAGTTAGGTAAGTTGGTTAATTATAAGAAAAGTGACACATTTTTCCTAAAATACCATAATCATCTTTCTTAATACTCCCTTTCCCTCTTTTACTTAATTATGGTTGAGAGAGTATCTATAGGGGTAATTTAGAGAAAATTAATAAATATGAGAAATGGGTCTTATATTTAGGACCAAAACCAACTCAAGAATTGGGTCCTATATTAAGAACCGGAGGAGTATTACAATTAAGCTCGGAGATAGTAAATGACAATATATGATCTTGTGATTTGTTAAATAGCATGATGATAGTGGAGCTCTTGTCGACTTTTAAAAAAAATTGTCTTTTTTATAAAATGACTTTTTTTAGAAGTAATTTTATAAGGTAGGTATGTGAGATAAGTTTTATATTACATAAAAATACTTTTTTTTAATTGATTCTGATGTTTTTCATACACTTCCTATAAACTCACCCTGTCACCGCTAACTAGGACTTTAAAGGTTGGCACTCGAGCTCTGGTCTCAAAAATCCTGACAGTAAAATGACTTTACTATCCTTGTAGCAAAATGTTGGTTGTTCCTCTAATTAATTTAACACAATTAAAGTGATGACAAATTTACCAAAACTCCAGCCAAGAATGCTTTTGGTGAGAGGGAGGAACAGAGAGTTCATCATCATCGCCACTATGCATTGTTGATACCGTACAGTGCTTACGCATGTGCTTGCGTTATAAGTGCAGGATTACTATCACTATTTTCAAGTTAAAAAGGGTCGGGTGGGGCTCCAAACCCGACGCCATTATCCGATATT